TCTCCTTTCCAATCTTTAACGTCAGAAGGTGTCATCAGGATAGAGTGAGGATTAAGATGTAGTTACCAGAGCTCAAAATTTCGAACATTTAAAATACACAAATATGTTTCTAGTTTCCTTCTAACCAATATTTGGACGGCCTCATATGATTTTTGTCACTTTTTAGAGAATGTTTGATTTGTCGTCCAGTTTTTCTTCATATTCTTCCTTAATTTGGGTAAAGTTTAAGAATTTTTCTACCCTATATCAATTTTATTTGAATTTGATACTAAATTATCTTAATCACACTCAACAAAAAGCTAGTATAACCTCATCCTTTTTGGGCAAGAACTAAACACTCATTCAAACCACAAACTCCAAAATGCTAGAATCGCCAAATAAATAAGAAAAGATGAGAACTTTCAAATACCCAGTTCGAACTTCAGGCTCCGAGGCTCTCTCTCCACCGCAAAAGGAGCAGAGTCCTGCTTCTCTTTGCTTGAATCCAATGCTGAAGCCTTAGAACAGCAAACTGATCGATACCCATTAGAGGAAACACGATAATGATTAAGATATTTGAGAGATACAGCTCTGTGATGCCCACTTGATCTAAAAAGTTTGGGCTTTGGGAGAGAATTGGGGACCGAGAAAGATAGAAAAGGGGAGCTCGAGCTCGCCATTGCTCAAATCAAAATCTAGAGAATAAAAAAGTTCAATTTCTGAGTGAGGAGAAAGACATCAGTGGAGAAGACTAGAGGAATTGTAAGGTGGCGATGGGTTCAAATTGCTTGGTGCGTAGGGGTACAGCAAAATTTGGATTTTTTTTAATGGCCTAAACTAGTTATTAAGCTTTTTTCCCCCTTCTGAGGGAATGAGGGCGACACTGGTTTTGGCGACGAGAGAGGTAGGGAGGCGACGAGAGAGCTCTGACGACAACGAGAGGAGGAGGGAGGAGATGGTTTTGGCGAGAGGGATGGAAGCAGAGAGGGAGAGAGATCGAAATTGTTTGGGGGAAATAAAATTTGGGGATGGCGCAGACTCCCTCCGATTGGGGTTTGAGAAGAGGGATTTCAGATGAGGGATTTGTGGGGATGGGGATAAGGGGCGCGGGGATTTTAGAATTGGGGGGAAAGTTTGGGGGGGTGGGGGGAAGCAGAGAACGAATTTTAGATTTTGGGGGAAATTTTGGGGGGAAACGGAAGAGCACGGAAAAAGAGAAATGTTTTATTTAAAAAGAAGAAAAATAATTAAAAGTTTTGCTACAGGGACCCAAAATATGAGACCAACAGAGAGGACATGTGATGTGTCCCCCTCCTATTGCATAATGAGCTTAATGATGGCTAACTCATTATGCATTAGGAAGGGCACACCTCACATGTCCCCCATGTTGGTCCCATATTTTGGGTCATTGGGGAATTTTTCAATAATTAAATCACCCAAACGAGTTAAAACTGTTTTGGACTAAACATCACAAACGGTTAAATCTGTTTGGGGGTTGCGTTTGGATCTCCTATCAGCCCAAACGGTTTCAACCGTTTCGGTTTTGTTATCCCAAACGGGTTTAACAGTTTGGACTATTTTTACTTGTCCAAACGATTCTAATAACCGTTTGGATTGTCCTATTTTGTACTAATGTTGTGCCAAATAGGAATAAAAGATTTCATTTCACGTTTGATTTAATCTATTTTCAGAAGTTAATATTATCTATTAACATAATCTAATTTCAGAAGTCTAAAATAAATGTATATTCAAAAATCATAAATTGTTTAAATCTTATCAGATTTGTGAGCAATCATTTATCATTGGGATCTCTTTGAACCTGGATAAATATTAATTGGTTGTTAATCTTCATGTGAATTCTGCAAAAACCTACAAAAAGGAACCATCAACCAGACAAACCAAATCCTTATTTCTATCCATACTGGAGCTTTACCTCGTGCTGGACATTTATTTAAAAAAATCTAAATTGGCCCACGATTGTTGACTTGTATATGGACATTTGTTAGGCCATTGATATTAGAGGCCCGCTCTTTTCTTTGAGTACCCACCTACTTTTTACCAAAATTTTCACCAACGAATAATGAGGATATTATTATTTCATCGCTGATTAGTTTTTTTAACAAGGAAATGATTTCTCGCAAAACAAAATCTTTTAGCGATGAAGCCTTAAATTTGTTGCCGTTGAATTTGACGGGTTTTGAGCATTTTTCCGTCAAACTAATAATGAGGAAACTATTATTTTCTCGCTAATTGATTCTTTTAACGAGGAAAGGGTTCCTCGTAAAACAAAAAAAAATAGTGAGAAAACCTTCAATTTGTCGTCAATGAATTTGACGGGTGATGTATATTTTTCTGTCAAATTAATAATGAGGAAACTATAATTTCCTCGCTAATAGGTTATTTTTTACGACAAAACGGATCCTCGTAAAACAAAAACTTTTAGTGAGGAAGCCTTAAATTTGTTGCAATTAAAATTGGCGGGTTGCACATTTTTTCGCCAAACTAATAATGAGGAAACTATTATTTCCTTGCTAATTGGTTTTTTTTAACAAGGAAACAGTTCCTCGTAAAACAAAAATTTTAGCGATGAAACATTTAATTTGTCATTAATGAATTTGGTGGGTGTTGTAATTTTTTCCACAAAATTAATAGTGAGGAAACTATAATTTCCTCGCTAATAGGTTCTTTTTAACGAGGAAATGGTTCATCGTAAAAACAAAAACTTTTAGCGAGGAAGCCTTAAATTTGTCACCATTGAAATTGGTGGGTTTTTTTTTTCTTCCCTCAAACTAATAATGAGGAAACTATTATTTCCTCGCTATTTGATTCTTTTGATGAGGAAACGGTTCCTCGCAGATTATGGATCTTTAGTGAGGAAATCATACTTAGTCGTTATTACATTTGGCGGGTTTTCCTCTATTTTCCGCCAAAAGAACAATGATGAAATGATTATTTCCTCGTTAAATGTGCATTTCGCGATGAAAAAGTTCATCACCAAAATCTCATATTTCCTCGCCAATAAAATAACATTAGGAGACTAAATCATGATCATCTTTAGTGAGGAACTAAAATTTTCATCGTAGAAGGTGGTCTATTGTGAGGAAATTATATTCCTGGTAGAAGACCTACTGATATTTACCGAGGAAACAATATTTTCCTCGTCGAAAGTGATATTTGTTGAGGAAAATTAATTTCTCGTAAAAAAGTTGGTCGCTAAAAGACCTGTCTGTTGTAGTGAATTACAATAAATAAAATTTATTTTTCATACTATTGTCATACTTTTAAAAGACTAATAAGATGAAAGGTAACAAGTAATCCTCCATAAGAGGTGAAACCCAAAGACAACATGCATGAGCCTAATGAATTTTTGTTATTTTTAGTTTTCCTAGAATTTTAAATATTATGCAAAGATAAATTAGAGATAAATTTCAAATCTTCTATTGAATAACATATAATTATATAATAAGATAATAGTGTGACCAAATATTTAGAAAAAGTGAGGAAATGCATATTTAGTAAGTGGTTATATATAATTAGTGAATGATTAATTATAACTGATGACATATTTGAGAATTATAAAACTTAAAAGGTCAAAAATAAAAATAAAAAGTTTTGACAAGGCAATCTTCTTTTATATGTAGTATAGATGGATTAACTCTGTTGATGTATTAAATCTAACAGTTAAATAAGGGGAGTAATTATGTTGATGGAGGTCCTCTAACTTTCCGAATGTCTGGTTCTTGAGTAAGCTCTTCTTCCTTGCATAAGTAGTAAATCGTAGGAGGGCAGGGTTGAGCTCACCGGTTGTTCCTTCGACGACCATGTCAATGAGTTGCTTGAGTGGAGAAGTGAAAATAAATTGTAGTAGTTTTTAAACACAATGAGTAGTAGTCAAGAACTTACTCTGTTATTAAAAATAGTATCTCTATTTATAGTAGTGGTAGAAGGGTAGAATGGTAACTTCGGTCAAGTATGGAATGACAACACATCAGCCTCAACTTTACAGGTGTCGGTTGACGAGTGGAGAAGAGGTCACTTCAGTATTTAATGCGAAGCGATTGGGAGTGTGTGGTGCCGATGTGGTCTGATGTGTCATAAAGACTATTGGGGGCTGAGGAATGATGGCGCCCATAATGCATTTAATGACATTTATTGCGTGGTGATTGGTCACCAGTGCACAGGAGGGGGCTCAAGGCTCGAGACATTTCGTCACATTTCTACTCGTCCGGTGGTCGAGAAGTACCGCCTTTTTGAGTCGCCTTGGCAAGGTATCAGCCAATTAGTCGGTCGAGTGGAGTGATTAAGCAGTCGACTTAGGCAAGAGACGACACGTAATGCCTTTCGGGTCGTCGACATGTGACGCCTTTCGAGCCGTCCTTGCAAGATGTTGGATTGTCGAGTCGACTGAATTGAGCCTTTGATTATCTTGAAATGCTGAGTTATTTATGCATAATGTGGTGCACTTGTCTACTATTGATTAGAGATTATTTTTCGATCACTAAAGCGGCTATAATAAACTCATTTCATCAACCTCCGCTAGTATCTCATAGCTTGAATTGTTTACTTTGATGAAAGGTGTCTCTGGAAAGTTCGTTCCGAGCTCCACAAAGTAGAAAATTTAGTGAACTTCTTTCGATGGATTTTTTTAGGTCCCAAACTATTTGTTTAGGTCCCGTTTTGGAGTCGTTTAGCTAATTGGTCTTTATTGGGCTTGTTGTTGAGCTATTTTGTTTTATTTACTTTTTGGGCTTTACGCGTGACCAGATCCGATCTGTTTTCGGCGTTCTTTCTAGTTTTGTTTTTGCGCATACGCATTGTTTAGATCGTTTTATTTTCCATGAACTGAACGTTGAAGGTTTTTCTTATCCATGGTTTTTGTTGCATCAGATAACTCTTGTTGAAAGGATTTATTTAATTATGGTGGTTTATTAAACTGATCATGATGGTAATTAATCATAATAGTTTCTTGCTTGCTTAGTTAGCATACTCAAAATCAAAATAAGACTGCGTACGTATGCTTCTGAAAACCAACTCTCTTCATACTTTCGATACGCGCCAATAAACCGAGGCTCTAGTGAGCTTTCAGCCTTATTCCCTGAAACTACGAAGGCTAGCTCGCATGGTCTCGGTCAGTACACAGCAATGAATGGCATAAGAACTGATCCAATCCAGAGCTTCCCGTCATGCTCTTCTACCTCGCTCACAGCACGAACAACCTTCCCTTCTCGATCCTCTAGCACTCTCAGCAAGCTTCCATCTTCGCTGTACTTTACGATCATTCCGTGATGTTTCCCTCCGATATACCTCGTGTAGATGTACTGAGCTTTAATCGGGAACTTGAAGATAAACTTCCTGAGCCGCGGGCACAGGTTAAATACGTGCAAGAAGAGTGTGCGTCGACAATGGATTGCCACCCAAAATTCACCCTTCGCGTTCGTCCTCACGTTATCTGGATGACCAGGCAATATCACGAATGTCTCCGAGGTTCCCGCCTTCTCGCCTTTCAACCAATATCTACTCAACCTGCGTTGAGGTATGTATGTACGCAGAAGAGTACAATTTCATGTGAGTCGAAGAGAAATTAATGAAGTAACTAAGAGCGGGCGGGGGGGGGGGGTCCGCGGGGCGCGAACATAATTTAGACCTTCCACACTTAAGTCCTTCAGTGTACAACGACGAACGATTTTCAACGGGTCCTTGCTTTTAGTGATACGCCATTAGGGTTTTGAAGTTCCCGGACTAGAACTGTGGTTTTCTTCGTGATCGGGTCGAATTTTAGAAGTCTCCCTGAGGGCTCTGCGGTTAACACCATCTGAACATAGTTTCTGAAAAATACACAAAAATTAAGAGAGCCCTTCGTCACAAAAATTAAAAGGATTGATATATGCCAAACCTTCTTTGAAAATAGGTGCTACTTTCAGTAAAATAGACGTTGCCATCCTCGTCGATGTTATGCCAAACCTTCTTTGAAAATAGGTGCTACTTTCAGTAAAATAGACGTTGCCATCCTCGTCGATGTCCAGATCGTTGGTGAATCTCAGCGGTCGCCCTTCGACCTCTGCCACTAGTTGCGCGGCTAAACCTCCTTCTGGGCCTACTTTTAGGATTCCAAAATATGCGTCGGCGATGTACATATCTCCTGTCTTCTTGTCGAATCGAAGGCCTAATGGTCGACCGCAGATGTGCTCATTCTTCAAGTAGCTCAGGGCCGAAGGCTTAGGGTCACAAATCTCTGACCTTCATATATGTATAACATGTAGTAACAAAAAAAAAAAAAAGATAGTTGAGATTAATGGAAAATAAGCAAGAGAACTCGGTGTAATATAAACTCGGTAGATAGGTAGTTGTCTCCATAGTAATTCCCAAATTAATTAAGAGGTAATTGCAAACGCACCTGTCTGGGGACGTTGTAGCGCGAAGTCCGCCACGACGGAGCCGTTCGCAGACAAGACCTGCCTAACCGTCAGCGACGCCGGGTGTAGGGGCCCGCGGCCGTGGGGCGGTCGAAACAGGACGCGCTCCGGCCGTGGACCTGATCAAGACTTCACTCGCCTCTGCAGCAGGTCTTCTGGGGGTCGCGGCGTCGCGCAGTCCTCACGCCGGCATCTCCACCTTGTAGCGTCTCGCAAGTCAGGAACCCGCTAGAGGGCTGGTGGCGAAGGCGGATCGCCCAGCCCGCAGTAGACGCGCAGGCGCCCAGGGTCGGAGTTACGGCACAGCTTTCGCTGCCGGCGACATTACGTACGTGCCGAGACTCGTAGCCACTCACTGTTGCCGTGAGCTCCTCAGGGTGTATATATATACACATAAAATAATGGGGAGGGTAAATTTTTCAGGAAGTAAATTTAAAAAAAAGAGGAGGTTTTCATACGAACCCCTTAAATCTTTAGTATTTGTGAGATTATCTCTGCGATCTTGATATTTGCAAAACTACTCCGGTTCTCTCCCATTGACTTTCTTGTCCACCCTTCCCGCACATCAATTTTTGTTTTTAAGCGAAAGATGTTTGCGAACCTATTGAAAATTATTAGAAATTTTGGCATTGCGTGTTTGAAAACCAACATCGATGAGATGGAGGGAGTAAACCTATATAATGTGAGAGTTTCAATGGGTACGTTTGCAAACATCAAGATTGGGAGGGGGTAATTTTGCAAAGGCAACGAAGATTTGGGGGGAACATATGCAGAAAAACGCTTGGCAAAAAGTTTAACTGCATGTAGACCCCTTTCTATAAGACTTGAGATGTGTAGAGGTAATTGCCGAATTAAAAATAGTTCTCGCATAAATATGTTTGTGCAATTGGGCGCTCTGATTTAGATCTGGTTTGTGCATAAATATACACACCATAACGTGACGACTAGAGTAAAATAAAACAGATCTCCGTGTCTTGTGGTGCGAAAAGAAAAAGTCTTTTCTCGGAGATTTGGAAACTTCAAAAGTCAAACACATGGGTTTGGCTGTGATATAAATTTGTTTTGGCTACATTTATTCACAAAAGAATAGCTTGAACGGTTTATTTTTTTGCAATACTAGGTACTCAGGCCAACAGCCTTCATTGACGTGTCGTAGTTTGTTTGAACACGATTCCAAATATTACCTCGGGTCACCAACCACCATTAATGCGTCATGCCTTTTTAACATTATACAACTTAATTATACGAACAAAGTTTAACGGAAGTTAGTAAGCTTAATTAGTAGTTAATTTCCTTATCATCAAAATGTAGATATCTTTAATCGGAGTCCAAAGTGTTGGTGTGGACATCTGCCAGCCGGATTCGGGTATTCGATTGCATGCCAATAAAATTTACATATCCTTTATTAGGAAATAAATAATTACTTTATTATATTTCTTATTTTTCATTATTCTCCTTCCTTGTATATGCTACTCTCCTTGTATAGGCTACTCCCCTTGTATAGCTTTCACCCCTGTACTATATATATCAATCCTGTATCTCTCATTAGATTCAATCAATATATTTCCTTTTCATGGTATTAGAGCAGAGATCGTAAAAACTCCATCTTCCTCCTTGTGTTCGTCGTCAATCATTCTCTCTAAATGGCATTCGAAAATTCCTCCACCTTTGATGAGGTCCAATCAAAAACTTTAACCAATGATCAAGAACCCTCCAAACCTTTTGTTCTAGTTACTCTCTCAAACTGTCTGAAACTCAACCAGAAGAACTACCTCTCCTGGAAAACTCAGATCACTGCCTTATTGGATATGATCTGTTCAAATATGTTGATGGAAAATTTCCGGCCCCTCCTGCTGCTCAAGCCACCGCCCTACTCACTTGGATCCGTCAGGATCGTCTTCTTTTTGGTGCTCTCCTCGGGACTCTTGAACCTAACCTCATCCCGCTTGTTTCATAGGCAAACACCACGAAAGAGGCGTGGGATCTTCTGACGAACACCTTCGCCAAACCTACACGTGGCCATATCAAACAAATCAAGGAACAACTCAAACATCTCACCAAAGGTGTAGAGAGTGTCTCGGAATATATGCAAGCTATCAAAAATCTAACGGATCAATTAAACCTATTTGGCAAACCTATGGATACAGAAGACATAATTGACAAAATATTTGATGGCCTAGACGATTCCTACAAATCTGTTCGTGAGGCGGTTGATGCCCGTGAGACTGTAATTTCCTTTGCGGAATTACACGAGAAACTTATCAACAAAGAAGTTGAGATCATGTCCAAGCCGATTCTTCCTCAACCCGCTGCTGCCCCTGTCTCGGCCCATGCCGTCTCGACAAAATCGGCTGCCCGAAACCATCATGGTCCGAAATAGCACACCTGGCAGCAACCTGGGGGAGCACTCGGTACACAGCCGTGGAATATGACAGTGGCATCGTCATCAGCACCGGCCCAGTCTTCCTCCAATGGTGGTCGCCCGCAGAAAGCCTACCTCGGCAAGTGCCAGGGGTGCAATACCCAAGGTCATGTTATCTCTCAATGCAATCTGTTCCGCCAGCAATTCCCACATGTCACTCCTCCCCGGGACAACAATAAACCGCAAGTAAGAATGGCTACTGCAGCACCGACCACCCGGGACAACAATAAACCGCAAGTAAGAATGGCTACTGCGGCACCGACCACCGGAGCGTGGCTAATGGATAGTGGAGCGTCTCATCACATCACTAGTGATTTGGCTAATCTTGCGCTGCACCATACATACGATGGAACTGAGGAAGTTGTCATTGGTGATGGTACATCTCTTCATATTACCCATACGGGCTCTCTTTCTCTTCCCACATTTGTTCACTCTCTTTCATTATCTCATGTGTTGTGTATTACCCATACGGGCTCTCTTTCTCTTCCCACATTTGTTCACTCTCTTTCATTATCTCATGTGTTGTGTGTTCCGTCCATTACCCGTAATATTATTTCTGTCTCCAAACTGTGTCTTGAAAATAATGTTTCTATCCAATTCTTACCCGCTTGTTTTGTTATGAAGGATCTTCGCACGGGGGATACTCTCTTTCAGGGTCCACCCAGTAATGGTGTCTATGAGTGGAATCCCAGCGTACTTCACTCGTGTCTAGTATCTAGAGTATCGTCAATAAATTGGCATCAATGCCTTGGTCATCCAGCTGAACCAATTTTAAAATCTTTACTTTCACATCTTGGTCAAGTAGTTGCTACGGATTCTATTTCTCACTGTAACTCATGTGCTATCAATAAAATGCATAAACTCCCCTCTTCTTTATCTACTGTTGTTTCCACTGCTCCACTTGAAATTATCTACACTGATGTTTGGACGTCTTCTGTTGTGTCGTATGATGGATTTAAATACTATGTTATATTTGTTGATCATCATACAAAATACATCTGGCTTTACCCTCTCAAACGAAAATTTGATACACTTGGAGTTTTCACGCGCTTTAAATCCCTTGTTGAAAAATTCTTTACCTATCCTATTAAAACTCTCTATTCTGATAATGGTGGTGAGTTTGTGGGTATGTCTGCCTTCCTTGGCACTCATGGCATATCTCATCTCACTACTCCACCTCATACACCTGAACATAATGGCTACTCTGAAAGACGTCATCGACATATTGTTGAGACGGGTCTTGCTCTACTCTCTCACGCTGGCATGCCTCTTCCATACTCGTCTTTATCGTTCACCACTGCTTCCTACCTCATTAACCGTTTGCCTACTCCTACTCTTTCTCAAAAATCACCATATCTATGTTTGTTTGGTCATCTTCCAAATTACAGCAAGCTTCGTATTTTTGGCTGTCTATGTTATCCCTGGCTCAAACCATACACCTCTCACAAACTTGAACCAAAATCCACCCCATGTGTCTTTATCGGCTACTCGGCCACTCAAAGTGCCTATCACTGTCTCGATCCCCAAACTCACTGTATATACACCTCTCGGCATGTTCGTTTTGTTGAGACTGTGTTTTCGTTTCAAACTATCTCCACAGCTCCTGATATTTCTCCTGCCATTATGGATGCATGGTGCACCATCACATTACCCCTTGTCACTCCTGCAGTCGCTCCACCTACCAGTCCGCGGTTCACGTCTCCACTGCCTCACCCAACTAATTCGTCCAACCATATGTCAGCGTCCCTAGCTTCGTCTGACTCCGCTTCTGCATCGTTCAGTTCGTCGTCCGAGTCAGTCCAATCCCAAACTTCCTTGCCGCACAAAATCACGGCAGAACAGTCTCTGTCTGGTGCCGAATCTCTGGATGCTCCTCCCGCCCGTACCATCATCACCCGGAGTATGAATAACATTGCCAAGCCCGTTAATAAATTGAATTTGAGTGTGCAGCTACAGGAAAAAGTTAGTGAACCTCACACGGTGGCTCAAGCTTTACGTCATCCACAGTGGCGTCAGGCAATAGATGCCGAGTTCTCAGCCTTACTGACAAATGATACATGGGATCTTGTTCCAGCTTCAGAAGCTCATAATATTGTAGGATGTCGTTGGGTTTTCCGAGTGAAATATCTACCGAATGGGGACATTGAACGCTACAAGGCACGGTTGGTTGCTAAAGGTTTCCATCAACGTCCTGGTGTGGACTACTCGGAAACATTCAGTCCAGTTGTCAAGCCTACCACTATTCGGCTCTTACTCACCATTGCAGTATCATCAGCATGGCCCCTGAAACAACTGGATGTCAATAACGCTTTTTTGCAGGGAACTCTGGATGAAAATGTTTTTATGGCCCAGCCACCGGGATTTGTTGATTCTACCAAGCCCACTCATGTCTGTCGGCTGAAGAAAGTCATCTATGGTCTCAAACAGGCCCCTCATGCCTGGTATACTGCTCTCCGCTGCTATCTTCTCAGCTATGGATTTGTCAATTCCGTTGCTGACTCGTCCTTATTCATTCTTCGGACTGACAAATGTCTGCTCTACTTACTCGTGTATGTCGATGACATCATCATTATTGGTCCCGACTCTGATCTTATTGCCCGTTTTGTCTCACATCTTGGGTTGCGCTTTTCTCTCAAAGATCTGGGTGATCTCTCCTTTTTCTTGGGCATTAAAGTTATTCCGTGTTCCACTGGGTTGATGCTCAGTCAACGAAAATATGTTCTCGAACTACTCAGCCGGGCCAACATGATCATTGCAAAACCTGTCTCTACTCCCATGATTGTCTCACCACCACTCATTGCGGCCGCGGGGCACGAGGCAACCGATGCTCAGATAGAATATCGGGCTCTCATTGGTGGATTACAATTTCTCACCTTCACTCGCCCAGATATTGCGTATGCGGTAAACAAACTATCTCAGTATATGGCTCACCCACGAGCGGATCATTGGGTGGCACTCAAGCGCCTTCTTCATTTTTTGACTGGCACTCCGGACCGTACTCTTCATATATCACGACACCCATCTCCATCTCTTCATGCTTTTTCTGATGTAGATTGGGCAGGAGACAAGGATGACTACACTTCCACAACAGGATATATTATTTATCTTAGGAATTCTCCTATCTCATGGTCTTCTAAGAAACAACGCTCTGTCGCTAGATCCTCCACTGAAGCTGAATATAGGGCTGTTGCGGCTACCAGTGCTGAGCTTCTCTGGCTTCGTGATTTGCTTAGTGAACTGGGTTATCCCGTTGTTAATCCCACTCCTATCTACTGTGACAATGTTGTAGGCGTCTAAAATGCCTATAGGTATCAACGCACAGCTCGAGACAGAGAGAAAGTGATGAACGCCACTATCTAAGTCTAAGAGGATTATCCGACGCCGATGAACACATGAAGCGAAACGGCGAACTGAATAGCCTATACACTCACCAGCCACCAAATCGGCGAACCAAGTGGCCCGCACGCTCATCGGCCACCGACAAACTATCCATGCGTTCGCGAAACGAATCGGGAAAGCGTACAAGTCAACGAAATGACAAAATACGCGTAACGATAGAACAAGTCAAAACCCGAAAAACAGATAAAGCCCCTGGCGGCCTAGTCGCGCCCAAGGCCGAGCCACCATTTGGTGGCCCGGCCAGGCCGAGCCACTAGGTGACTGTTCGGCCAAAAGTTGGTTTTCTCAGTTCTTTTATGGATTCTTTCGGGATTTTGGATTCCAACTGCTCTGATATTGTTGTTAGACAGCTACTAACTGAAGATAGAGGGAATCCCTCATTTTGAGCTGAAGAAACCATCAACCAAGCCTATAAATAAGAGCTCTAGTGTTCATTTTTGGAGGAAGAGATCAAGAGGGCGAGGTGCTGCCGGTTTCTCAAGTGCATAGCCACAAATTTCAGAGAGGGTTAGCAGATCTTGGCGATCTCTTGTGCATAAATAGTGGAGTTCGAGAGATCTGAGACCCGTCCCTTATTCCTCCGGATTTAAGCTTGGTCTTAAATCCCGAGAAGAGCCGTGATTTTACTTAGTCAAAATCGTCGCTACTGCAATTACTTCCTTTGTGAAGTGAGAGCATTGATTATCCAACTTCTGCTAACCGGATCTGATCCACGACGGTCCACGGATATTAACATCCCCCGCACAGACAAAGAACCCACACAAGCAGCGGGTGATAAACGTCCGTTGCGCTGTTTGACAAGAGTTGTAATCTTTATTTTCATTGTGTAAAGAAGATCTTATAAAAAGATCAACTTTTCTTTTCGTTTGAGTTTATTGTAATGACCAAAGTTGTAATAGATTCGATGACAATGAAAACATCAACTTTTGACCCAAACAAGCTGGCGACCACAGTGGGAGCCAACAGCTTCGCTACCGAAGCTGTCGTGCCGCAACCACGGATCCAGATCCCGGTTTACGAAGAGATCGAGTACGAGTTCGACCAACTGAAATTCGAGGAGTATCTGTCGTCCTCCTCCTCCAGATCCTTTGCCCCTCGCAAGCGCAGGAAGATCAAGGCCCCCGTTGTCACTGCAACCCCGCCTTGTAATGCCCCTCTGGCCTCCAATGAGCCCGGATCTACAGATCTGGACCTTTCCTCCACCAAGGAGTTAATTACAGAAGGCACGCCAACCCTATCAAAGAGGGCACGCCAAAGACAGCGCCAACGACTTGCGCGTTGACTCGGTAGGGCTTTGGAGCCGGTTGACGAGATTCGCTACGAAGCGGATCTGAAGTCCAGAAGGTGCAAACCTCTTCAGCAGCAAATGAATGGCGTATCCTCCAAGCCAACAGCGAATGAATGGATCCAAGTCAAACGGATCCGCTCAACCCTCGAGGAGCGCATTCTGAAGCGTCATGCCTTGATTGCGCACGCACGGATCCTCGTGCGAGAAGCACAAAAGCTAAAGCAGAAAGAAGTGGTCAAGAATCCACTAAGATCACGCCGAGTCTGGAGGCCAAAGTCCAAACCGGCATCAAAAACAACCCAAATAGTGCCCGAAGGCGTCAGAGAAACCAGAAGACCAAATGGTGGCTCGGCCAAGTTCAAACCACCAAATGGTGGCTCGGCCAAAGTCAAACCACCAAATGGTGGCTCGGCCAAATTCAAACCACCAAATGGTGGCTCGGTCAAGTTCAAACCACCAAATGGTG